GTGCACCTGACGGTTCCAGCCTCTAATGGTGGTCCCTGCCCTTGGGTTCTGGGAGCACAGTCTCCTGTTTCCCTGCCTAGAGATGACAGTGGTGCCTGCTCTTGTTTATTTCTGGGCTCCTTGTTCTTGCAACACATGTGTAATCAATTCCCATATATTACGTTTCTTTTATTTTGAAATACAAATGGTTTCTGCTTTTCTAGGATAGACGATGATGAATGCACTCCCCTTCTAATTTTCATACCAGATGCTGTCTTATTCTTATACATGTGCCATGGTGCCTGGTTCCATGATTTGCATAGTGTAGGTGCCAAAAAATATTCAATACATTCATAAGTAGAGGAAGAATATTGCTGTTTAAAAATAGCTTTTAAGTTTTAGAGAAATCACTCAGAAAAATTTAAGAGGCACTAACTGTATTAGTTGCCAAGGAGAGACACCAAAAAACAAAAAATTGAAGACAACATTCCTGTCATCGAATATTTAAAAGGCTACTGGAAGACTTAAAAAGGACGTTCAATTTTGCAATAGAAAATTTAGTGGACTGGAAAATATCTACTTAAAATTTTTCTTTGTCATGTTTTCTTTTCCTGAGCATTGAGGAATGCTTGTGAAGTTACGGGCTTCAATTGTCCTTAAAATTAGCTATCCAGTGTCTTTTTCTAATCCCAAATGTCAGTATTCTCCAGTTTGGCCCTAGGAGATTAGGAAGGTGTTAAAATGGTTACTGTGTTACATATTACATTGATTTTGAGTATTTTGTTTCTTGAGGTCCTTGAGCCTACCAGAACTCATGTGTTCTCTGAGTGACTGTCATTGCCACTGCTCGGTCGGCTTCCCACTCCCAAGAGCTGCGATAACAGGGATGACTATGCAGCAATGTGTGGGTCGCAGCTGGAGTAACAAGCCAGCACTTTCAGACTCATCCTCATGGCAAAGGAAGGTAGATTTGTGCTTTAAGTTCTTAGTGGAATTCCCTACTCTGCCTTTGGACTGACTCATGGCCTTGAACCTTCTCTCCCAGTTTTAATTTCCTCACTCTTTTAAGAAAGTACACCAGTGATGGAAAGAATTCTGTGAGGAAATGACTTGATAGAATACAGGATGAGCTCCAAGGGAGGGAGAATTTAACCATTGCCATAGATAGGTGCTGCCACACAAAGTTGTTTTGAGAAGTAATTAGTTCGGCGGATCTGGGGAAGAATGTTGATTTGTTCAATCAACAATTATTTATTGGGTATCTACTACATTACCAGTGACAAAAACTTTCCCTTGACCAAAACTTTAGTCAGGCTCCTCTGAGTCCTCTGATTGACCTTGAACTCTGCCTCTGTCCTTATAGAATCCCATTTAAGCAACAATCCTCGTAAGGCAGGTTAGAAAAAATTATCCACCCTTGGAATCCCTTGATGTGTTATCACCCTGACCTGCCTTCGGCCATAATCCTATCAAGTTGATTTAGCCAGAACCCCCTTATCCTTGATATTTCCTGTCCGTAATTCTATCCACTGCCCCCTGTCCACCCTGCTCCTTGGTGATAAATCCTCTCGTATATTTGTTGGAGTCAGAGTTGAGCCAGCCTCTTTCCCCTACTGCAAGACCCCACTGTGGTGGTTTCTATACTTGTAGTCATGCCCCCTGCCCCTTGAATAAAGTTTGCATTACCATCTTTAACGAGTGTTAAATGTGTGGGAGGCCATTGATTGGACTGAGGTCCTGAACCAGGCTCCAAGAGACCAACTAAAATGGAGTCACTCAAGCTAAGGTTCCATGTCACTAAACTGAAACCTAAGCTGTTCACTTGTTTGGAGAAATCAGGAGAGATTATAACCAAATCCCTAAGCAGGAAAGTTTTCTGAAAAAATAAGAGATTCACAGCAACCAATCAAAAGGAGCCCAGTCAACCTAAGCCAGCGTGATAAGGCAGTCTCCACTGCTTTAACCCATAAAGGAAAGTAACCTATAGAAAAATAAAGGAAAGTAACTTGAGGTAACCTGATGTTAACCAAGTTTTTGCATTAGGCTGTTGCCTTGTAACTGCTCAAGCTACCTTACAAAAACTGACAGTTCTGCCACCTCCGATGGAGCCCTGTCTATTTCGTAGACTGGATGCTGCCTAGTTCATGAATCACTAGTAAAAGCCAATTCGATCTTTAAAACTCAATTTGTTGAAATTGTGTTCTTTGACACAAGTGTCATAAGCCATTTTTTAAATTTAACACCAGTGCTGTGGTTGGCAGTAAGAATTCAAAAGAAGTTGCCAACAAGCTTCTGCTTTTATCATAAGAGAATAATATTATTCCTGTTGTCCTATTGTTAATCTTTGAAGACAAAAGATCAGAATAACCTTTTCTGTTTGTTCAGATTCTTGGAGTTGAAAGAAGTGGGGAAAAGCACACATTCGCCCTATTGGAGTTAGTATCTCTTACCGCTTTGCATGCAGATGTGGTTAACTTTTTATTCATGTCATAATGCATAGTGTCTAAAGTCTCCTTAAATGTCTGCCTGAATTGACTGGGAACACAGACATTTTAAAATAAGTTAGTTTCCATTTGGGAGAGGGTCCTGAGGGAGTAGAGTCAGAACCTCTAGCCTGGAAGGCTGGCCTGGTAATAATTTGTTCATTGCTGAGTGTGTCGGAAATCAGCTGGGACTTTAGTTTTAGTACAACTTTTTTCTTTTTTCTTCCAGAGGAGAATGTGTCCATGATATTCACCTTAAAGGCATATGGTTTTGATATTAGATATTTCAGAGAGTTTGCTATTCCCCACAGCAGAGAAACCTCAGCTGCCCTTATCATCATGAGAATAGTAGGCTTAGTTCAGCAGCCTGGGACCTCACACCTTGCTTGGAGTCTCTGCTTTTTCCTAGGCAACTTTGGGAAGGGTATGATTCCCTATCTAGCACAAGACACAGCTTACATGTGCTCATTTAGAATTGTTTGCTTAGAGGTTACTGGATCTTCATGGCAAACATAGCTCAAGGGAGAAGGCTGAGGGTCTCCAAGCACCTGGGCATGGCTTAGCTTTTCCTCTGCCAGATCACTCATTTATTTAAGGAACGTATCTTGAGTACCTATCATATGCCAGGCCATTGCTGCTGTTAAGAACAAATAAATGACTCAAAGATGGTGTTAGACTCAAAGAATTGTGGCTATAATATACATGGCTTTTAAATTCCAATCAGGTAATTTTATAATTTTTAACATCAGCTAGAAGATGATGGATTTTAAAACCCCCTCTACGAATACTCTTCATATGGTAAGGTCAACCTCATGGGGAGGTAACCCCATAATAGGAAGAGAATGGATGTCACTGATAAAAGATCCTATTCCCAAAAGTGACTCCCATAGATTTCTCAAGTTCTCAGTATTTTTTCAATTTCTGTTTTGGGCAACAAAGATTTTAAATCTGCAGATATCTTTGAGTGACCAATTCATTAAGCTTATTACAATGGCAGTTCAAGTTTAACTTGAAACGATTATAAGTTAAGTTTAACTTAACTATTAAAATGTCAGTTCATCAGTTTAACTTCCTGTTAATGCTCTAGAACTTTCCTTTCTGAGCCTGAAGAATTTTTCTTTTCCTTCTTCCTGCCCTGTGGCTCTCCTTCTCCTAGGTGCCTACTTTCTGCTAGGCAAGGGAACAGAAAAGCTCTAAGCAGGGGTGGGGGCTCCCCGAACTTGAAGTGGAGGAGGAGAGAATTGAGACAGTACCCTGTGTGGATTTGGTCACAGCGTTGTGGTGAGAATTGTGACCATCTGCTAGCGGTGAGTTAGCTGCTTAGTCAGGTGCCGAGACCAGGTTGGGGTGAAGGGGTTAGCAACATCAAGGGCCCAACCATGGCTGCAGAAAATGGAATTTGTGGTTGAGCCAGTACAATTTGGTCGTTTCTGGTACAAACAGGTAGCTGGCTTGTGTATGTGTGTGTCCATGTGTATGTGTGTGTTCAGGTTTCTGAGCACATGCTTGTGCGTGTGTGTGTGTGTGTGGGGGGTGTGTGTGTGTGAGAGAGAGAGAGATAGCTAGAGAACAGAAAAGGTGTAAGATGCCTGGCCATTACTTATGCAGTTGTGGGAGCCTCAAATAATGGAGCTCAAATAATGGAATGACTGAAATAATGGAACTTTCGAGTTAGAAAAGAGAGGAGGTTGTTGACTTGCCCGGCTGGCTAGGAGGTGCTTCTGGAGCAGTTGTGACTTTATGGTGCCCTGAAAATACTGCTTGAAGCCCTCTGAGAGCTGAAGATACCTGAAGGTTTTCTAGATTGAAAAAGATGAGGGTCATGTTGGACCATCTCAAAACCCTTGGGCCTAACGTAATGTAGGCCTCGAAGAGCTTGTCTGAGCCCAGTACATTGGAGTGATACCAGCAGAGCTATGGTCACCATATTGCAGGCCAATTGCATGGCACACCCCAGACTAAGGCTTGTATCTACATGATTTCACTGAATCCTCTCAATAAGCTCATGAAGTAAGTATTATTAACCTTGGTTTATGGATGAAGAAGCTGAGGGTCAGAGTGATGAGATAACTGTGTAAGATCTAAAATCAGAGGGTTTTGATGTCTCTATTCTTCATTGACTTGTGATTTTGCTTTCGTGACTGGATTTATAATAATGATTCTCTATTCTGTCCTATGAGAAAAGGTCACAGGGCCTCCAGGTCTTGGAACTGAACACTCCAATATGACGCAAACTAACGGCCTGAACTTCCACATTGCTGGCTCTCCTTGCGTGTTAGATTGCTATCGTTGGTTCTGTGACGCAATGTCCATCTTCTTACTCTGCTCATAATTTGGGTGATATCAAGGGAGGGGAGTGAAACATCTGCCCTTCAAAGACCACAAAGGAAGCTATCATGTTCTCGATGGCAGCACAAGTGGCAGTGGAGAAAGCTAGGAGCTGCCCCAGCCTGTGGAATCACAATGTTAAGTATTAGAGAGGTTAAGAATGAATTTCATTGATTTTGATATAGAAGTTGCTGGTTTTGTCAATTTTGGTTTCCCAGTTGACTTTTTATTCTATATAAAGAATTTGTCTTTTGTACAGAGCTTGCACGCATTTTCAATTGCTGAATTTGCACACTTAGTTGATAACATTGAAAATGATCAATCTACTTAAAACAGCAAAAGTCAACCCATGTTCACATTCACAGCTGAAATTATACCTCTTCTCAAATTATGCTTATTGTCCCATCATTCATACATAATTACATGCTATTCTTTATTCTGGTATAACAGATTTTATTTCTCTTTGGGTTGTACATGTTGAAAATTGTTTTTAATGTAACAGTAATAGCTGCAGTAGCAACAATAACAATAAACTCTCTCTGGTCCCATTCTTTCATCCCTGTGTCCATCATCAATTCTTCCACCCCAGTCTTCGAACTCTCTTTCCACAAACACTCCCTGTGGTGCCTCTCTTCTTCAGCCTTCCAGCATTGCTCCCTTCTTGGTTTTCTTATGATATTTTATATTGGAAAAATGCCATATTAATAGTTCTGCCTTCCCACCCATTCGCACTTTAAACTCTGAATCAATTAGAGGCCTGCCACAAATAGAATTCGCTCACATGGTTGAACAGAAGAAATTTTAATGAAAACGATGCAGAATGCTTTAGTGCAGGTTTAAAGGAAGTTGAGGTAGTCAGACACTAGCAGAGTGAGCAGTCATTGGCACATGTGGGTCTGGAGGAGTAAGTGGGGAAAACGGTGTTACTGAATCTCAGAGAGGCCTGGAGCCACAGAAAATGGGCTGCTGGGCAGGAGCTGTACCTGTGGAAAGAGGCTGTGATCATCATAGCCAGCCTCAGAGATGGAGTAAGGAGGAAATAGGAAGGGAAATGCCCCAACCTCTCTCTGTTGCTATTTCCAGCTTCTCATAGTTGCCTCCCATTGCATGAGTGGAATAGATGACCAAAAGGCAAGAATGCCTGGCTGATGCAGGGCACTTGGGCTCCTGGAGAAGGGATGAGAATGGATTTGACATGTGGGAGCAGCAAGCGGAGAATAACGAGGACAATATATTACTTGTCTTTGGATCCCTGGTGTCTAGCATGGTGCCCAGCACTGAGTAGAAAGTTAGCAAATGCTTTTAAAACTGAACAGAATGGAAAGAGATCTCAGAGCTCAACAGGTTTAGCTCTCGTATTTTAGAGAAGAGAGCACTGGAATTAAGAGATATCAAGATGACTTACTGAAGGCCATGCTAGCAGCTAGTGGCTAAAGGATCGTGGAAGAGTCTCTGGACTTCCTCCATGCAACCTGCTATGCCATGGCCAGTGCTGGTCTCGATTATTTTCCTCATCTCATGCCTCTGCTCCTTATGTATTCATCTCAGGCTTCTTCATTCTGTGATCCTTCTTCTCACTCTGACACCTGGAACAGCTTTCCTCTCCTTCCTCTCAATCACACACATTACTGAGCACCAGATCTGAGTGTTTCAGGTAATGCACTCAGTCCTAGACTCAGAAGTGAGAAGACATGCCAGCTGCCACACTCCGTTCACATCTCCTTTGTACCGGCCCTTCCCTGTGCTTGGAATGGATTTCGTCTCTGTGACTTCCTGGTCAACTTTTGTCCACCACTCAAGGCTCCACTGTTGGTCCATGCCTTCTGAGAAGTAGCCTTGACACCTTCTTCCCTGGCTTTGAACTCATCACAAGCTATTCTGTATGCAAGTCTTGCTCCTTTCCTTAAAGATGAGCTCTCGGACTCTAGCTTGATTCCTCTCACATAGGGAGTGACTGAATAGAGGCTGAAAGAACGGGTCCATATAGGAGCTGCATTTGAGACCGTTTCCTTCCTCTTTCGGCTGCCATTGTTACACTCTCAGAAGATCAACACATTCCATTTTTAGTGGCGTTTCTGCTGATTGTGGGGCACCTATGCCAAAAGCTGCTGTATTCCCCATTTGACAGGTACAGACGCTGAGCTGCAGAGCCAACCAGCTTGCCCCAGGTCCCATGGCCCAGGGATTTGTGCTGAAATTTGACTACAAGACTGCCTGACTCTGCACATATTAACCATGCTGCATTGTCTCATATGCTTGATGTTTATAAGAATACATTCATTTATTACCTTGTAACATTGAAATGATTAAAATGATATATGAAGAGCATTTTCTTCAACTCACACTCATCTCTTCTGCTGTAAATGTAAGCAGCTGCCTTTCATTACATTTTTTTATGGCACCTAGATGCTGACCATGCCCCTTGCTAAATTACTTTCAAACATTAAGGGAAATACCATGTTTTATATTTTCTTTAATTACATCTGGTAGCTCTATGTACACAGTGAGCAGATTTTATGATCTTGTGATATTGGCAAGAGATTGAAATCTCTGTTTTTGAAAGACAGCCAGATTGAGCTTGGTGCAATTAAGCAATCCACCCAAGGTCTCACAATGAATAGTGGCATAATTTTGACCACAACTATGAGAAAAAATTAGAAGTAAACACAATTTGTTTCTTCATCTCCTTATCTCAGTATCAGACCTTTCCAGGTTTCAGTTAAACATTGAATGAAGCTATGAGGTGTGGTCCCTCCTAGGACAAAATGCACTTTTATGGGTATCTTTCAGACTGAAAAAAACATTAAAACTCAAAAGTGTTAAACCCTAATGGTGGAAATAGAACGACAGGTGATTCCATCAGTAATTTGGGCAGCAACCAGCTGCTGGTATTGTGGAGTGATAACACAGGCTTTCCTAATAATAAGATCCAAGTTTCTCCAATTATCTGATTTCTTACCTCCAAGGGGATGACGATGATCCCAGTTTCCACTCCTGATTCTCTTTTTCCACGTCTTTCTGGATGTACACAGGTGCTGTGGGGTGACCTCCAAAGTAAACTCAGGACTGTCCATGGCCTAACCCAAGAGACCTAGTTGGATTTGGACTTAGAGGAGATATGAAGCACAGTCCTGCAGGAGCAAACTGCAGTGTGGACAAAGTTTACTTCAATCGTTTGATCCTGATTGTGACTCATATTTTATGTGGAAGACAAACCCGGAGATAAGGTATTTGATAAGACCTTGCTTTGATGTATTCTGAAACTGTAGTTGGTTATATAATTCCAGGAAAAGCACAGAGACTCTTCAGGTTTTCCGATGTGTGTATCCTTAGACAGAGAAAGAGAGAAAGAGAGAGAAAAGTCATTTTTGATCAGTACTCCTCTGGTCCTTAACATTGAGGTATTATATTGTCATTTTGGTGGGTCGCTGACAGCTGCATCAGACACCAAGTCAGCTGGTGCCATGCAAGGATGGTGTGTCTGTGAAAACTCACAGAGTGGGTTCCCAACCATACCTCTGGAGCAGTGGACACTCAGGATTGTTTGCTCTGTGGGGAGGATGAGGGAGTCTGATGTGGCTTGAGCAGGAAAGGGTTTATATACAGGTGTGAGCTATCACTGACTTGCTGGCCTGTTTGTTCTCTGTGGCATGTGCATATGTGTGTGTGCATTTTATCTTTCTTTCCCTTAATATTTTAAGTAATTTCTTGTGTATATTCTGTCCCTAAAACTGCCACAACACTAAGCTTATTTTTCCATATCTCATCTGCACTTCACATTACTAGGTATTAGAAAATAATAAAAATGCAGACACTGGTGTTTCTTATTTACTCAGCTTCCTTACTGTCTTAATGCTTTTCGGGGCTTGTCCTTTATTTGCATTTCCCCGCTATCATTTTATGTTGTTGTTTTAGCATCTGGCAAACTCTCCTGCACACTTGTGGGATATATATTAAGAAAATGGTAAACATGCTCTTAATTGCCATTTTCATATTTAAGTGCTATCCCTCTATCATTGCACTACAATGGTGTATCTGCAGACTATGGCTGTGGTTATCACTGGTACATGGACAGAGCAGAGATCTGTGGGCTAGAAGCCAATTTCCAACAATGTCCACACCTTCTCTGGGACTCCAGATTCCTGGAGTACAGACAGAAACTTTTGCTTCATTACATACAGCTTAAACCTCTCAGAGTGCTGTTTTATTTTGGTTTGGTTTTGATTTGGGAGGTTAGAGGTAGATTCTAACTAAGATCATTATATTTTCTCAACCAACATGTAAAATGCACTTTTTAAAAGTCAAAGACATATACTACTTTGTAAAAGGTGGGTTTCAATATTTGAAGTCATGAACTAAACTTTTAGGCGTAAATGCAGGACTTTTTCATAGGCCTTGTTCAATTCTCAGATTATAATACAACATTTATTGAATGCCTCTTTTTATGCAAGGCAAGCAATTTATTTCTTATTATTTGGTATCATTTCCTGAGGAGATGAGTTCTGTCCTTATAATCCAGATTGTGGGTTATCCTGCAGATGAGGTGCTGCAGATGCATATAACCCAGATTGTAGGTTATCTTGTAGATGAGATGTGAGTCATCTTGCAGATAAGATGCTGTGACACTAGGCTGGCATCTGATAGCAGATGGGAGTATCCACTCAATGCAATGGGTCGTTCTGTGCCTGGGAGTGAAAATTTGACATGTAGGGATAAGCTGTCAGTCCAGCAGGAAACTTATTTTCAATTCTCTCTAGATTTTTAGAATTTTAAAAAACGTTTTTCAGAGAAAGGTTACCCATGTTTATCCATTCTTATTTGCTCAACGAGTATTGACTGAACAATTTAATGTACAAAACAGGAATAGAGCAATGAATAAGATGGTCATTTTCTCCTATTCTCATAGTTTACATTCTAGTAGGAAAAACAGACATTAACAGAGATCTGAATGCTTATTACATTTTAATTGCAATTGTCTTAAAGGTGAAACAGTGAGTCCCATGAGAAAATATAATAGGAGACAATGTATTCACAGCATTTCATAATTCTGCAAAACTGACATTTAGACAGAAATACGGTGAGTGAAAAGAAATGAGCTAAGATGGCGGGGTGGGGATGGGGAGGAATATTGTTATTCTGGCAAGGACATGACATGTGATAGGGTCCCGATGCACGCAGGTTTTAGGTGAGGGACCTAAAAGAAGGACAAAGTAGAGCTTAGTAGGTGCAAAGGAGAGTGGAGTGAGATGAGGCTGATGGGGGCAGCTGGTCATGAGTTTTAACTTTATTATTAGAACATCAGGAAACCACAGATGTTTTTGAGTTGTGGCACAACATAGACCTGTGTTTCAAAAAGAAGGGCTGGCTGCTGGTGGAAAGTGGGTTGAAAGGTGGTAAAGAATGAAGGGATAGCAGGAATGGGGCTACTTCAACAGTCTAAGCTGGAGATGAGGTGGTAGTTTCTGTGTGATTTAATGCTTTAAATGCCTACTGTATTTGGGGTGTTGGATCAGCCCTAATTGGTACTAGCTAAGCTGTACATCTTCTGGCAGTTTCTCAGTGTTAAAGTGAGGGCACCTAGTCCTCCACACCAACTTTGTATGTCTCAATTGGGTGTGTATTTAAGGACGGTACGTATAACGCTGTTTCCTTAGGGCTTAGAACCCTGTAAAATTGAAGGCAGCAGCTTCTATGAGCTCTGGCTTTTGTAAAAGGCAGTGAAGATTTGACTTTTTAACAACCTTCTGGCTGCACCCATTCTTGCTCTTGTTATTTATTTATTTATTTTTGACAGTTAGCGTGCCATGCTTTGGAAATGCCATATCTGTTGTGCAATATCAGGGTGACTAAGTGAGGCAGGGTTTCTCACATTAGGGGAAACAGTCCAGCTCGTGGGGAACATGCCAGCCAGAGGATCAGAGGCATCCCCGTCCTGTAGGTCAGGTGCCCTGTCTTCTTGATTATTTGCCAGATGCTGCTGCTAATGATATGAGCTTCACAGTTCTGCTCCCAGAAGCTGCTGCTGAAGCCGCTGATATGCGTCTCTCCAGATACAGAGGCCATCTCATAATGGGAAAGTCTTTTCACTTAGTCATTTATTACATTGCACCAGGTTTTCACACCTTTTGGTAGGCTATAAGAAACATTAAAAAGTGGAAACTTTGGAGACAGACATATCTTCATTGTACTATGTGGAGCTCTATAGCTTTGGGCATTTTAACCTCTGTGAACCTGATTTTCCTCACCTGTGAAAAGGAGGTAATTACCACACTGGCCTTCTGAAATTCCCATGGGAACTAAATGTGATGATGTATATAAAGTGCCCTGCACACGATGGGGCTACCACACTGTAGGCATCTGATAAGTATAAGTTTCCTTCCCGATATTAACCACGTAATAACTAGCTTGTCTGATGTCACACAAGGGGTCCAGAGTCTTTCTGCAGTAACGGGACCATCACCACATCTCCATATTTTGTAGCTGGTTTAGTTGTTTCACTTGTCTGTGCTGTTTCTCTTTTCTGAGGGCAGAGATAACTAAATTTTCAGTAGAAGGATGAGGAAGGTAAGACTATAAGCTCTGAGTATACCTGACCATAACTTGTAGACAATTAGCAACATAATATATGCAGTCTGGTATTTGGTCTCAGACACATGCATGAGATGACATGGTGGTGTTCTCAAATAGTAAAGAGAATGGATCCTTCATCTATGAATTTACTGAAACCTCATTTGAACCATGGATGATCATCTACTACATCTTTGGGTTAATAGGTCCATGAATGTCTTAACTATATTCCAAGAAGTGCTTTTTCATTGTGCTTCAATTTGTCCTTTTGCTAACCTTAAATGGTGCTTCTCTGTTCTATTGTTTGAGTTGGGCAATAAATTGTTTTCACCTCAAACCCCTGTTTTTGGTTTAGGCATAGTCGAGCCTAAGTGAGCCATGGTGGAAAAGCACTGGACCGGGGCTCAGAACGTTGGTGCAGTCTCATTTCTGCCACCTGCCTCTTGGATGGATGCCATTTCTTTGAGCCTCAGTTTTCTTGTATGTGAAATGGTGATAATTGCACCCTGACCCCTTTCTGTTAGCTGTAAGGATCAAAGGGTATCATTGAAATGTTCATAACCTGTGAAGCACCATACAAACGTTCTCCTCCAGTTCTACTGAATTAGAGTCTCTGGTGATGGGACCCAGACACCGTTACTAAAAAAAAAAATTTACCCAAGTGATTCTGATGTGGAATAAAGTTCAAAATCCACTGCTCCATAAAAATATACGATGATATCCCCATTGACAAATTACAGACGTCATTTGTCTTAGATGGACTCAAATCATTTTGGTGATTTGATGAATCTGGTGTTCACTCCTTACCCCTTCAGTGATTATTTTCAGGCCTGCCATTGTCCTCACCTGTATGATCTTTCCATAACCTGGTTCTCCAGCCACATCAGACTACCTGTAGTTGCCAATCACTGAAAGTCACATGACTTCCCTGCCTTTGTGATTCTGCTCAGTGATTTCTCAGGAGAATATTCTTCCTGTAGTGCAGGGACCTGGCCTTCTTGTAGCACTGATAGAGATATAGATATGGGCACATAGGAAGTGATCTTATGACCATTCAATTTATCTTCTGCTTTATAGAGGAAAACTTTGAGACCTAAAGAATGTCAGTGTTTTTCCTGAGGTTACACAGTTAATGATAGAGTCAGTATTAGAATCCAGGTCTCCTGACTCTCAAGCCAGTGCTCTTTATACTATACATCCTTCTAAAAATACTAACTGAAGCCGGGCATGGTGATTCACGCCTGTAATCCCAGCACTTTGGGAGGCCGAGGCAGGTGGATCACTTGAGGTCAGGAGTTTGAGACCAGCCTGGCCAACATGGTGAAACCCCATCTCTGCTAAAAATACAAAAATTAGCTGGGCATTATGGTGCGCACCTGTAATCCCAGCTACTTGGAGGCTGAAGCAGGAGAATCACTTGAACCTGGGAGGTGGAGGTTGCAGTGAGCCAAGATCGGCCACTGCACTCCAGCCCAGGTGATAGAGCAAGATTCCATCTCAAAAACATAAATAAAAAATAAACATACTAATTGAGCACCTATTATACACTGGGCACTGTTGTGTAGTTGTGCTAATAAATAAATATGCAAACGCTCATGTATCCCATGCCAAATTTAAGCAAGTGCTTGTAATTTAGCACCAAATTGAAACAAGTGCTTGTAATTTAGCACTTGTGATTTTTAAAACGATCTTTTCTAGTATACTGAAACACATACTCAATCTTCAGATCTTTTCAGGACATTATACTTTCTCCTCTAGTGTGTCCTTCTACCACCCACAACCCACGCGTGTTTTCCTTGCACTCCACATCTGACCTGAGCTGCATGAAGTCAGGGCTTCCCCCAGGGATTGCGGTCACCCTCCTCCTCCAGGCTCAGAGCACCAGCAGGCTGCTTCGGGCCTATTTCCCTCATCTCAATGCTCACGTTTGGCTGCCTCACCGTGGCTCCCTTGGGTCGCCAGGGGTAGTCTTTAGATGGATCCTTTAAGTTCACGTCTGATGTCCTGACATCTGTTCCTTAGGACCGTCATTTACCTGGGATTTGTACTTGGCATTTCACTTTGGGAGATATTTTAAAGTTGTGATCGGATACAAGGATTTTGTTAGAATTTACAAAGTACGTGCTTGGGCCAACATACCCAATCTAATCTTCAAAGTGTCCCTGTTTACAGTTACGGAGCCAGGCAGCAATCTGATTCTCAGCTAGCTCAAATGGCACCCAAAAACTCCTACTGAATATATAAAGTGTGCAGAGGGATAAGTGCAGAAAACTGCAGTTCTCTTCTCTTCCTCCTTCTTAAATTTGATTTGAGAGCAGAGATTGGAATTGCTGATCACTAGAGAGTTCTTCCTGAAAACAAAAAGAGGGGCCCACACTTCTCTATTTCACAACCCAGTATCCGAAGGACTACATGAAGCAACATGAGCAAGGCTCATTGTCCTTTCAACATTTCCTCTGTTTCTCTGCATTTCTAAGGCCCCTTTATTTCCAGCATATCAGCAACATCAGATTAGAATACAAACAATAGTGATGGATCAGCACTCTATGTCATAAGATCAAATATTGACTGAAGTCTACAGTAGCGAAGAAAAGTTGGCAAATCTATGATCTCCCTTGTTTCTAATGCCAGAGCCTATCATGTGTTGTTGAAAATAAAGTTCACTTTATGAAAACCACTAGAAATTGTAAGGAAATTATTATGTGTGAAATCTTTCAAGATCTGTATTTCCTTCTAGGGAATCAGAATTAGGCAAATATTGAATATTGTTATAAACAAAGGATATACTATCTTAAGCTATTATTTACTTTTTCTTCTGGAAAGAACTATGCATTTAGTAGACATGTATATTTTTGCTATGGACATTAGTTAATGCTTGGTCTTTAGCTACTTCTTTCTTATGTGGCTAAAGACCGCCTCCATCTCCCCTGCCTTTTAAGTCCAAAAAGCACGTACTGAGTATCTACAACACGCCAAGCATATTTCTAGGTGCTGGGGATACCATGATGAACAAATGTGTTTCTGCTAGTGCAGGAGACAAAGACTGTACCTTTCAAAACGTTTAATGGAATTGAAAAACTTTTTGAAAGAAATGATGAAGGGAGAATAGAGGGAGTAAATGAAATGAAAAGGAACTATAACCACACATTCTGCATTTATTAAAATAATACTTTGTATACCTATATACCATCAAATTAGGAAAAAACTAGATGAAATATATACACATAGATTTTTAAAATATGATACTAAAACTGACTAAAGAAGAGAGAAAAAGTCTAAATAATACTGTAACTTTTAAAGCAATTGAACTAATTATTTAAAGTCTTCCTACAGTGAAAACATCAACCCCACTAGTCTTAGAGGTGAGCTCTACCAACCATTTAAGGGACAGGTAATTTCAAACTTTCAGGTAATAAAAAAGAGGAAATACTCCCACCTTATTTCATGATGTGGGTAAAAATTTGCTGTCAAAACCAGATTAGGACAGACAAAAAAGAAAATTACATAGCAGTTTGTTTTGCTTATGAAGAAATATAAAAATGCTAAATGAAAATGTTAGCAAAATGAATCCACAATATATTAACAAAATATAAATTATGATCAAGTTGGATATTTTCCAAAATGCAAGGTGAGTTAATGTTAGAAAATATATTAGTGTCATTCACTATCTTAATGTGAACAAAAGTATGGTTATCTTGGTAAATATAGGAAAAGTACCTATAAAGTCTAACAACCATTCACGATAAAGATTTGTAGCTACCTAAGAATCCAAATTTCCTGAGCCTGTTTGAGAGCAGCTAAAAAAGACCATCAGCAAACATGATACTTAATGGCAAAATGTTAAAAAATATTGTTTAGGATACAGAATAAGACAAAAATGCCGGGTATCACGGCCTTTATGCAAATTCTAGAGCAAGAAAAAAAATAATAAAAGGTATTATAAGGATTAGGAATAAAGAACAAAAAGCCATTATTTGTGAATGATATAAATTTTTGCATAAAAACGAATAGAATCTACACAGTTTATGGTTGTATTTCAGGCATATATTAAAGTCCTTGGATTCTCAAATGTAGCCTGGTTGATGGAAAGGTTAAGGGTTAATATATGTTGAACCTTAGCAGTCATCAGGTTCAGTGCTAGATTGCTTATTTAAAATATTAATAACAATTATTATTGCAGCTACCATTTATAGAACTCCAACTTCCCTGCTGAGAACTAGATACATTTTTACAGTGAATATCTCTAATCCTCACACATACTTCAAAGTACTATTCAAGGTATCATTATCCTTCTTTCATAGATGAGAAAACAGATTCAGAGAAGTAAGATAACTTACGAAAGTTCACACAGCAAGAAACCCAGTACCTCAGAAACCAACAGGACATCCCCTCCTCCTCATTTTCCCTTCTTCTTCCAAGAACTTGCCAAGGCTTGCTGAGTGGGAGCTGTAAAACGCCTACCAAGCTGGCCATGCATTAGTCAATTCCGATAGGACAATAGAAACTTAGAAGCAGTCTCAAATTCTCAGATGGAGTTGTACAATAATAAAACTTTGACATTTCACGAGAGTATTTTTAAGCCTGTGTTTTGGCATTGCAGGGGCCACAGAGAACAGAACATGGGGATAAAAACCTGCATTATCAAGCTGGACTTATCTCTCCTGCTGCCCTCCCCAATTCTTAGCCCCTCCCCATGTTCCTTTCAAAAGAGAAACAGAGCTTTCTTTTTGGAAAATAAATCTAGAGGCAACCTTGAATCCAATCCAAGGGCAGTTTCTCAAAAGAGCCAAGCCGCCATTTAGTTCCTTCCCAACCCTTCAATTTAGTGAAAATGTTGCAAGCCACCTTTACCTGATACATGGAGACTGTAGTTCTCTAGGTTACTGCTGTGGTCATCACTTGAATTGCTGTTGACTTTACATCTGGAATTGATGAACTTGTATATAGTTGCATTTTAACTGCCTTGGGATTGTACTCACAAAAAGGTTCACAAAGTGTGGGGGAATTGGGGCTGAATAATAGAGTAAGGTTAGAATAATATTATTTTCATATTATTTTCTAATCTCACATCTCTGGAATACACCCACCTTTGTCACACTTCATTGTGTCTTTTGACTCAGGGCTAGACTCAGAATACAGCATGGCCCTGAATGTGGCAATAATACTTAAAGCATCCCAATGATATTAGAAGGGAAATAGTTACAGTTTCATTTGATGGCGAGGGCATGAAGGGCAGTTAACATTTATCAAATGTTTGCTGTATGCTTGGCACTATGCTACTAATTTTAAATTATTTTATATAAAACAACATGGTGCTGGCAACATGTATCACTAAGACGTACCACCAAACATGGTTCAAGGCTTGGAGCAAGCCACATGAAATGCAGGGTCCATGATCCACTTACATTTTCATGTCTCCCCTTTTCCCACCTTACCCACTACAATGGACTGAATGTTAGGGTCCCCCCTGTCCAAAATCCACATTTTGAAATTCTAATTCCAAGTGTGAGGATATTAGGAAGTGGGGTTCCTTGGGAGGTAATTAGGTCATGAAGGTGAAACCCTCATAATGGGATTAGTGTCTTGATGAAAGAGACTCCAGAAAGCTTTCTCACCCTCTTTCTGCCACGTGAGGATACAAGAGAAGTCAACAGTCTGCAACCCAGAAGAGGACCCTCCAGAACATGATCATGCTGGCACCCTGATGTAGGATGTCTCTTTTCTAGAACGATGAAAAATACATTTCTTTCGTTGATAAGACACAAAGTCTATGGTATTTTGTTAGAACAACCAGAGCTAAGATACCCATGTTTCTCAAAGTATTGCCTTTTGCTTGCAGAATATAATACCAAAAACTATCTGCCTTTTTAGTTCTGATTTACTGTTCACAATGAGGAAGCCACTTGCTTAACCTGTTTTGTTCCCTCTAACATAAGCCTCTTGACCCCCTTTCTCCCCTTCCCCACTCCCTCGGTCTTTCTTTACTGGGGATATCATGAGGATTGTGTGAACACTTTATTAACAGAACTTTTGTTCCTTGGAATTAGAGTTCTTTCAATATGTAAGGAATAATAATTGTGTCTTTGAAGTTTGTTCACTCAGATATAACCTCTGAAAAGTCATTGGTTGGTATCTTTCTGTCTCTGCCAAACAGGTCACTTCTCCATGCCTCAGTTTTCCATATCTATAAACTGGGAATAATGATACTTATGCCATAGGGTTAGAGAAGATTAACAGAGGTCTCATGTGTGAAGCAGTTAGAACAGAGCCTTGTGAATTTCAATGCTACATATGAGTTTGATATAATAACATATTTTTACTGCTGCTGCCAGATGTGAGACATGCAATTTAATATCACAGTGTTTGCCACAATACACACTACAAGTGTAAGTGTGCTATCTTGGATTATAGCTTTGCAAGTGAAGATCAGATAAATATTATTAGAAAAAATTTAACTCAGTGGGGACATTTTAGGAGCACAGGCATGGTGGTCATACCTCAGTCACTCTTGAAAATAGTTCCTTAGAACAGACAGTCTTGATTATTCTTTTCTTTCCAATTTTTATTTTAGGTTCAAGGGGTACATGTACAAGTTTGTTACATGGGTACATTGTTCATTGTGGGAGTTTGGTGTACAGATTATTCATCACCTATAGGTAATCAGCATAGTACCCGATGGGTAGTTTTACAATCCTCACCCTCCTGCCACCCTCCACCCTCAGACAGGCCCCAGTGTCTATTGTTCTCTTTGTGTCCATGTATACTCAATGGTTAGCTCCCACTTCTCAGTGAGAACATGTGCTATTTGGTTTTCTGTTCCTGCATTAATTCGCTTAGGACAATGGTCTCCAGCTGCATCCATGTTGCTACAAAGGACATGATCTCATTTTCTACAGCTGCCTAGTATTCCGTGGTGTATATGTACCACATTTTCTTGATCCAGTCTACTGTTAGTGGGCATTTAGATTAATTCTATGACTTTTCTATTGTGAATAGTGCCAGGACGAACATACGCATGCATGTGTCTTTGTGGTGGAACCATTTATATTCCTTCAGGTATGTACCCAGTAATGGGATTGCTAGGTCAAATGGTAGTTCTGTTTTAAGTTCTTTGAGAAATCTTCAGATGGTTTTCCACAGTGGCTGAACTGATTTACATTCCCCCTAGCAGTGTTACGTGTTTCCTTTTCTCTGCAACCTCATCAGCTTCTGTTATTTTTTGACTTTTGGGTAATAGCCATTGTGGCTGGTGTGAGATGGTTTTTCATTGTGGTTTTGATTTGCATTTCCCTAATGCTTACTGATACTGAGCATTTCTTCATATGCTTGTTGGCTGTGTGTATGTCTTTTTTTGAGAAGTATGTTCATGTCCTTTGTACACTCTTTTTAAATGGGGTTTTTTTTTTTTTTGCTTGTTGATTTGAGTTTCTTACAAATTCCAGATATTAGTCCTTTGTCAGAGGCACAATTTGCAAATATATTCTCCCATTCTGTAGGTTGTCTGTTTACTCTGTTGATAGTTACTTTTGCTGTGTAGAAGCTCTTTAGTTTAATTAGATCCCACTAGTCAATTTTTGTTTTTGTTGCTATTACTTTTGGAGTCTTTGTCATGAAGTTTTTGCCTGGGACAGTGTCCAGAATGGTATTTCCCACATTTTCTTCTAGGATCTTCATAGTTTTAGGTTTTACATTTAAGCCTTTAATTCATCTTGTGTTGATTTTTGTATATGGTAAAAGGAAGGGGTACCGTTTCAGTCTTCTGCATATGTCTAGCCAGTTATTCCAGCAGCATTTATTGAATGGAGAGTCCTTTTCCCTTTGCTTGTTTCTGTCAGCTTTGTCAAAAATCAATGGTTATAGTGTACAGCATAATTTCTGTGTTCTCTATTCTGTTCCGTTGGTCTATGTGTCTGTTTTTGTACCAGCACCATGCTGTTTTAGTTACTGTAGCATTGTAGTACAGTTTGGAGTCAGGTAATATGATGCCTCCAGCTTTGTTCTTTCTGCTTAGGATAGCTTTGGCTAGTTGGGCTCCTTTTTGCTTCCAAATGAATTTTATATATTTTCTTCCTAATTCTGTGAAAAATTTCATTATTAGTTTAATGAAAATAGTATTGAATCTGTAAATAGCTTTGGGTAGTATGACCATTTTTTACAATATTGATTCTTCCTATCCACGAGCATGGAATATTTTCCCATTTGTTTGTGTCGTCTCTGATTTCTTTTAGCAGTGTTTTACAATTCTCATTGTAGAGATCTTTCACCTCCCTGGTTAGCTGTATTCTTAAATATTTTATTCTTTTTGTGGCTATTGTGAATAGGATTGCATTCTTGATTTGGCTCTCAACTTGGACATTATTGGTGTATAGAAATGCTACTGATTTTTGTACATTGATTCTGTGTCTTAAAACTTTGCTGAAGTTGTTTATGAGATCTTGGAACATTTGGTCAGATACTGTGGGGTTTTCTAGGTATAATGTTATATCATCTGTGAAGAGAGATAGTTTTCCTATTTGGATGCCTTTTATTTCTTTCTCTTGCCTGATTGCTCTGGCTAGGACTTCCAGTACTATGTTGAATAAGAGTGGTGAGAGTGGACATCCTTGATTTTTTCTGGTTTTTCAAGGGGAATGCTTCTAGGTTTTGTCCATTCAGTGTAATGCTGGCTGTGGGTTTGTCATAGATGGCTGTTAGTATTTTGAGGTATGTACTTTTGATGCCTAGTTTGTTGAGGGTTTTTAACATGAAGGGGTGTTCAATTTTATCAGAAGCCTGCTCTGCATCTGTTGAGATGATCATGTGGTGTTTGTTTTTAGTTCTGTTATGTGATGAATCATGTTTAATGATTTGTGTCTGTTGAACCAATCTTGCATCTCAGAAATTTGAACCTGGTGGATTAACTTTTTTGATGTGCTGCCGGATTCCAGTTGCTAGTATTTTGTTGAGGATTTTTGCATCTATGTTCATCAGGGATATTGGTCTGAAGTTTTCTTTATTTATTGTGTCTTCGCCAGGTTTTGGCATTAGAATGATGATGACCTTTAAAAGGTGTTGTGAATTTGAAAATCACCTCTACTGATAGGCCTTCCTTGTCCACTCCCTTTAAAGAAGCCAAGCAGTATCACTCCACCAAATCATTCCGTTTCATTATCTATGTAGTACTTTTCACAATCCTGTATTTTTCTTGTTTGTTACTGGATCCACTTTTGGAATGCAGTCTACCTTGTTTTCTGCTGTATCCACAGGGCCTCAACAGTGATGAACACAGAGTAAGTTTCAATGGTTATTTGTTACATGAATGTGTTTATAAAAAGGCAGACAAATGATGGTAGCCCCACTAACGGCTGACTGATTTGGATTAGATTGTGATATCTGAATCAAAGCCCTTGCTGATGGTGGCAGACATCTCAAGTTTTTCCCATGAATTCACGATGATGTAAGACTGAACTTACTTCTGACTGCCATTGTAATGCACAAGGTATTATCAGCTCACTAAAATATGCTTTCATTTACCCGTAATTGAGTAGGGCACTAGCATCAGAAACAGTGCAAGGTACTGCAGAAGCGGGAGTAAACTGTTGAAAGGGCTAACATTTATGGAGCACTTATTATATGTCATGAACACT